CCCCAAAACCCCAAAACCCCAAAACCCCAAAACCCCAAAACCCCATTCAATTTTATTCATATTGAATTATAAATAAAATGGATTACAGATCAAAGCCAGCCAAAAATCCAACGGCTGATCGGATGGATATGTTCGAGAGTAAGCTTCTAGCCTCTTCGCCCTTCCTAGCATAGATCCTTAGACCTAGCTCCCTGCTTGGCCCCTAAACCTGGCTTCGGGGCTTAGCTAGGCAGCTATTAGCAACTATATAGTACAAATTTAGCCATTAGAGGGGGTTTTAGAACAGGATTTACCTAACTTGGGGATTTAGTCGAGACCAATGTGAGAAAACTGATACTGGAACTAGTCCAACCGCTGTTGGATAAGATTCAAGTAGAGAAGCAGAATTTGATATAAATACAAATAAGGTTATACATACGCATGCCCACAGGCTGGAGAGCTTGGAAGCAGCCTTGTTCGAAGAGAAGGCTAATGACCAGTTTTCAGAGATTAGGAAGAAGTTATAGTAGACATGCGAATTGAAGAGCAAAGATCTAAAGCGGAAATAGAAGAGTCTATTGAGGCTCAAAAGAAAGAGTACGAAACAATGATGTTTAGCTTCAATAATGTTCTCACAGAGTTTGATGGAGTCAAAGCTACTTGTAGCCTTCTCAAGGAAAACATGAAGGAGATGGAGAAGAGACTTATGGGCGAGATAGAAGAAACAAACGGAGAGGTCGCCCGATGTAACAAAAGAACCAATGATGCCTTCGAGAAGCTAAACGATAGGCAAGCTAAACTCGATGAAGAACTCAATGAAAGATTTAAGCAGCTGGATGTACAAAAGGTCATGATTAGCAAGGTTTCCGCTCTACAAGCTGTTACTGTAAGTAATATTTATTCAGATCATTCATATAAGGATTTTAATGATGAAATATAGGCATTACGATACAACCATGTCAAAGATCTTTGAATCAACCTTGAAGCTGATAAAGTTAATCTGTCTACCTTCCTAGCACACGTTGGCGTCTATGAAGAGGTCACGAGAAGAATCAAGGTGGATCACGATAAGCTTGCAGATAGGCTCTCAGCTGCAGAAAACTTTACTGATAAATATGTTCCAATCTTATCCCAAAATGTATGAATAGTTTCTTAAATATAGGTGGTTTGTGACACATTAACTCAGATTGTCAGCTCAAAGGAGCGTAAATAAGCTGGAAGTTTATGAACATAAAGTTTACATGCAGCTTCATGAAACTTTACTCAAAGACGAAGGGACTCCCGATCTCGAGGGTCATCGAGATAACCTTTTGAACCAGATCAGTAATAAACTAGAGATTTTAACCAAAATTATTAATGAAAGAAAACTGCTGATGCCGAAGACAAAGCCTGGGGAGAAACCCATGGTAACTAAACCTCTTTCTCCTTCTAAAAGGAAGCAGTCTGAAGTGATCAAAAGAATTGAGCTAGACGAGCATGGCGATCTTAAAATGAGAGAGTTTAATAATTTAGACCCAGAAGAGCAGAAAAAGCAGCAAAAACAAGAGGATGCAGAACGAGCTATCAGAGTAATGGAGGCTGACAAGGGAAAACTCAATTATTATAAGATTTCAGAGGCTGAACTAGCTGAAGTAGCCAGCATCGATTCTAGTAATGTTGACTATATTGAAATATTTGGGGAAAGACTTGATCAAGTCGACCACCAGATCAAGACCCTCTTCGTTAGGATGAATGGCATCCATGAGATCATTGAGAAGACAGATAAGAAATTACAAGAGACAAGCAGAAAGTCTGTATCTGAGGTCCAAGAGTACTGATTCACTCTGCATCACGAGATGGAAGAACTTCAGACTAAAATTAAATAACCAAGCGGACCCTGGAATTTTCTTGAATGAGGACAGTGTAAAGAAATTAATAAAATGAAGATGTAAGTGAGCAGCCCAGAATAAGGATGAAGGGAAGAAATCTTTAAGGAAGAATCATCAGAATTACTCAGTGATTCTCTCCAAGAAGATGGAAAAAGATAATATGAGACTTCATGCTTCAAACTCAAATCCAGTGTCTTTCCAGATAGAAACTCCAAATCCAAGTGCTCGATCTCGAGGAAATCTAGATCTTCCAATTGCTAAGAGAAGAGAAAGTAGACCTCTAGAAATTGATGAATTCGATGATTTCAGTACCAAAAGACCAGAAGGAGAGAGTATTTTTGCTCATAGCGGGATGAAGGAGAGAAAATAATACTCCCAGAAGCACATTACGACAAGAAGACAGTAGCTTCCCTGAAATAAAGAAGTACTTTACTGTTTTATCCTTTAGACAATTATTAATCCAGGAGATAAAGCTAAGCCATAGAATCCCAAATGCTAAGATGAAGAAGGTCTCTCATAACAGTTTGATCAGGCAGAGGTTGAGCACAGAACTTTCGTAAGGGTACAAATTAACTCTCTAGGAATAATTCTGGGCATAATAAGAAACTCCAGTTCCAGAAGATAAATGGAGTAAGTAAGCTCAGAGAGGAGATTTATAAATAAAATGTTCGGTAATGAGCTCCTAAGTAATCAGTTTTATCAAATATTTATCACTACAAGAACGGTTCTTATGAACAACTTCTGATGACTCCTTAGCTTTAATAACACCTATTCGTTAATAGAACGGACCCCAGGTTCTTCTTGGCAATAGTTCTAAGAAAATTAGGAAAATGGGCTTTGTGGCTTAACCTCTGTACGTCAAGGTTTAAATCGTTGAAAAAGCCTAATCCTGGAAGACTTGGGGGTTTATAGTACAAATATCACTTGAAAGTCTTGTATGGTCGATGTTTTCAATTAAAATTTTGTCTCCTGGGGTTTTGGGGTTTTGGGGTTTTGGGGTTTTGGGG